GCAGGGGCGGCTGCCGCGTGGGGCACGCGGAGGTGCTGCCGCCGGCGCCAGCGCTGCCGCAGATGCAGCCTGGGGCCTGCAGGCAGCCTGGGGCCCGTGCCCCCGCAGCGCGCCGGCGCAGGCCCCCCATACAGGCAATCATCGGCTTTGCAGGCAGCCCCGGCTCCCCCCCCCGCCGCTTGCGCACCGTGCCGGGGAACTTGGGAGAGATCTTCTGCGGCTTGTAGCTGACCGCAAATTCATCCAGCTCCACCTCCAGCTCCTCGTCTGCGGTACAGTTGCGGCGGTACAGTCAGGCGCGGTGGATGCATGGGCAGCGCGGCACGTGGCAGCACACAGGGGGTGCAGGCCAAAGGGAGGGCGCACCCATGCCGCAGCACGACAGCGCGGGCTGGCAGGGGGGAGACGCCGCTGAGACCCACCCCCCCACACCACTGCAGCAGCCCCCCCATTCGTCGGCTTGAGCATGCCGCAGCACAGCAGCGCAGGCTGGGCAGGGTCCCTGCCTGCGCCCCGCACCACACCCACCGCACCCTGGCCGCGACACGTCGCACCCACCGGGCTTGAGCATGCCGGCCAGCATGCGGATGAAGGTGGTCTTGCCGGTACCGTTCTCCCCCAGCATCACGATGATCTCCGAGTCGGTGAACTCGCCACGCTCCACCTGCGGTGCCGGTACAGGGCGGTACATGATGGTACAGGCGGTGGTGGTAGTGCAGCAGGTGGTGGTGGCAGTGCACGACAGTGCAGGGCCTGGCGGTGGGACTCATGCAGGGGGAGGGGAGCCCTGCGGTTGGATGCCTGGGCCCCGCCGTCCCACGCCGTCACCACACACCGCCCACGCAGGCAGCATGCGGGCATGCGTGCGGCAGGCTGCTCACGTGCAGGGTGAAGGCGCCCTGGGTCTTGGTCATGGCGGGATACTTGTAGGACAAAAACTTCTTCTGCTCCTCATCCCCCTCCACGCCCTGGTCGCTGACCTGGCCACAGGGAAGAAAGCAGGGAGGCAAGACGAAGACGCGGGTCGGGCAGTGAGCGGGCGAGCCGTACAGCGCCTGCTGCGGCAGGCTCGCCGCCGTCGGGGGCATGCATGTGAGGCGCGCACACGCAGCCTCGCCACTCAGCACCCCCACCTTGAAGGTCAGGGCCTCCTCCCTGAACCGCAGGTTCTCTGTCGGCACAAAGCCGGCCAGGAAGATGTTGATGCCCTCCCGCACGCTGAAGGGCAGCGTGACCACGCCTGCGCGCGCGGGTGGGGAGGGCGTGGGGTGTGGGTGAGGGCAGTGGTTTGGGTGGCTGGTGAGGCTGGGGGGCTTGGGACAGGCTGGGCGGGGTGCAATCGCTGGAGATGAGGTTGCCCCACCAGCGGCAGCAGCGACAGTGCTGGATGGCCACGCGTGGCGAGTCACTTGTCGCCATGATCGCCCCCCTGGCCCCAGCCGCGGCCTTCGGCTTCCCCGCAGCTTCCCCGCAGCTTCCCCGCGGCTTCCCCGCAGCTCACCGTACGCGCCCGGCTTGCCGTACAGGCAGCATATGAAGTCTGACAGGTAGTCCAGGACCGACAGGTCGTGCTCCACAACAATCACAAACTTGTCGGGCGCCAGCAGGCCGCGGATGACCTGTGGGGGGTGGGGAGGAAAGGAGGGGAGGTTGGGGCCATGTTGTGGAGAAAATCTGGGGTCGGGGATCAGGCGGCGGGAAGAGGGGTGGGATGGATGTGCACGGGGGGGCGAGAGAGGCAGACAGGGAGCCAGGAGAGAAAGGGTGGGCACTGTGCCCCAGGTCGGGGAGGAAAGAAGAAAGCGCGAGGACGTGCAATGGGCAAGGGGCGTGGAGAGGAGAAAGGTGCGGAGCATGGGCGCGGCGCGCTGCACTGCCGGCTGGCGCACTGGCAGGCTGCCAGCACGCGGGGATTGGCACACAGGCTGGGCGGCACACAGGCTGGGCCGCACCTCTGCTGCCTTGAGGCGCTGCCGCACATCCAGGTAGGAGGATGGCTCGTCAATCATGTACACGTCGGCTGCGGGAGGAAAGCAGGAGGAGAGCATGATGAGAGCAGCAGGAAAGCGGGAGGAGAGCATGAGGAGAGCGGGAGGAGAGCAGGCACGGCCAGCAGGAGCCCCCATGAGGCGAGGGGAGCCAGCAGCGCGACCCAACATGCAGGCAGGACAGGCCACCCCAGCCAGGCAGAAGGAGAGGCTGGGTGCTGCGGGCCGGGGACGGCGCTAGGCGCGTGCTGCGGCGCGGGATGCGGCAGCCGAGGCGGCGCGCTCTCACCCTCCTGCGCCGCCACCACCGCGATCGCAAACCGCTGCAGCTCGCCGCCAGACAAGTTCTCGACGTTGCGGTCAAGCACCTGAGGCGGAAAGGGAGGCGTGCGGTGAGGCGTGTTGCAGTGGTGGCGCGGTGAGGCGGGCAGCTGGGATCGAGCCGGGCGCAACGCCTGTGGCTGAGCAGAGGCTGCGCTGCCTGCCAGGGAGCACAACCGGCCTGCTCCCCACCCCCTCTTCTCCCCTTCCATCAACCGCGCCCTCCTCCCCTCCCTGTACCGATGTACCGCTGCATACCTGCTCCAGGTCCAGGTCCCGCTGCAGCTGCTCCCGCTGGCCCCGCTGGTCCTTCTCTTGGAGCACCTCGCCCACGTTGCCCCGCACCGCCTGCAGCAAGGGTGAGGGTGTGTGATGAGCGGTGCGTGTGTGCGTGTGTGTGCAGAAAGCGGCGGCGAACCAGGAGGGTTTGAAGGTGGGGCAAGGGCGACGCGGGTCGGCAGGCGGCGGAAGCAGCAGGGCCATGCAGCAGTACACGGCGGTACCTTGGGAATGTGATCCACGTACTGCGGCTTGATGATCGCCTTCACGTTGTCCTCCAGCACCTGCGGGGGCGGGAGCGGGGAGGGAAGGGCTGTGTGTGTGTGCCTGTGTGGTGTGGGGTGTGTGCCCCATCGACGGGCGCGCCTGCTCATCCCTTTCCAATGGGCATTGCAGCAGCACCACAATGCTTTCCACACAAGAGACAGCACAAATTTGCAGTAGCATTGTATTTGCAGTACCATCATGGTACCGCCCGCTCACCCGCTGGAAGTAGTTTTGCAGCTCGCTGCCGCGGAAGTAGGTGAGGATCTCAGACCAGTCTGGCGGCGACTGCACAGCGTGCACAGCATGCATGGCATGGGGTGGCGAGGGCCAGGCGAGGGCGCAGGGGAGGAGACGTGAGAACAGTTTGACGGGCGGGCGCAGGGGCAGCTGAAGACGCAGAGCGAGGAGCGGGGCGGCGGCCACAGCGGCAGGCAGCTGCACCAGCCAGGCCTGCTGCTGCTGCTGCTGCCGGCAGGCTGCTCCGCCAAGGCCCCTGCCCGCTCGGCCACACCGCTCACGTCATCAAAGCGCCCCAGGTTGGGCTTGAGCTTGCCGGCCAGGATCTTCAGCGCTGTGCTCTTGCCCGTGCCGTTGCTGCCCACCAGCCCCAGCACCTGCCCCGGCCGCGGCGTGGGCAGCCTGCAGCGAGCGGCGGCAGCAGCGCACCCATCAGGCGGGCTCCGAACACCGGCACGGCGCGGTCATGTGCAGGCACGGCACCCGGCGCATTGTCCGGGCGCCCGACTGCCCCCGTCCCGCCTCGGCACCGGCGATGCTGCTCTGCCATACCGCCCAGGGCCCCTCCTCCTCCGCCTCTGCCTCCGCCGCAGCATTCAAAAGCACAGCCGGCGACCCCGCCCCGCCAGTCCAGTGCACACACACACACACACACAGGCCTCCACACTGCCGCCGCCGCCCACCCTCCCACCTGTGCAGCTTGAAGGAGTTGGGCCCGTAGCGATGCGTGGTCTCCTTCTCGAGGTCCTTTGGCAGGTTGATGATCATGATGGCATCAAAGGGGCACTTCTGCGGTGGAGAAGTAAGCGCATTGTGAACGCAAGGCCGAGCACACACACAACCAGCCAACTGAAGGACGAGCATGTCACCGGCAGCAATCTAGCGCTGCCGCTTGATCAGAAGCGGCGACGCCAGCGGCGACACCCGTGCGGCGGCGGCAGCGGCGGCAACGGCAGCTCGACAGCACACGCAGCACAGCCGGCAGGTGCCCCGGCGGCAGCAACAGGCAGCGCGACGGAGGGGCGGCGGGGGTGGCTGTTCCTGTTGACCGCCACGGCTCCGCGCCGGCGCCGGCGCTGGCTGCCAGCCTGTGGCGATTGCCTAGCCGCACCTTGACGCAGATGCCGCATCCGATGCACAGGTCTTCCGAAATCCAGGCGATCTTGTCGTTGGGCGTCACCTCCACGCACAGCTTGCCCACCTTGACCACCGGGCAGCTCTTCTTGCACTCCTGCTTGCATTTCTTGGGCTTGCACCTGCAGCCGGGATGCGGGCGGGTGCGCTTGTCACACGTGCGCGGGTGGGCAGCTCTAGGCGGCAGCCGCTGCTGTCGCACAGCTGCTGGCAGCCTGTGCGCTACACGGGCACAGGCTGGGATGTGGCAGCTCGGCCTCGAGTCGCAGGCTGCAGCCCCGGGCAGCGAGCCTGGCCACGCCCAGCGTGCCGCCGCCGCCGCTGCCACCTGCCGCCGCTGCAGTTGCGGGGTGCATGCGCGCCGCCATGGCCTCCCCAGACTGCCCACCTGTCCCCGCTGACGATTGCTATACGAGTGAGCGTCTGCTCCCCACTATCCTGCTTCTTCTTGGGCGGCATGCTGCCTGGCCGTGCTCCCAATCAGGCTCCGGGTGCCAGGCCACCAGCTGAGCTCCACCAGAAGCCAAGCCTCAGCAGCGGGCCACCACAGACGGCGCTGCGGGTGATGGGAGGGGGTGGCGTGAGGGCACAGCCACTGCACCCTGCTCACACCCTGATCGGTGTTGAAAGGGCCGCCAGTGGCTTGAGGCCCCCGTTTTCGCGCCCTGCCAGATTTCTGTACCTGAAGGTGTACACATTGTGGCTTTCGGCCTGTCTCTCGCATCGCGTCAATTCCTTGCCACCCGCTACCTTACCTTGCTGCCGAGGGTGCTCAGCACAGACGATCGCTGAGCCCGCTCTGGAACCTGCGGTCTTTGCTGCCTGGCGCAAACTCACAGACCTCGCCAAAGCCGATAAAACATTGTGAGACAAGCGTCATGAGCGGGCGCGGGCAGGACAGGGATGGCGGGGCCGAAGAGGGCGGAGCGGGCGGGGAGCAGCTCTCCATGTCGATCGAGGAGACCAACAAGTGAGTGTAGAGTGCAGAAGAAGGGCGCCTGGGTGCTGCAGGCTCGACGGCGAGCGGGACTTGCCGCCGCCGCCGCCTTCCGCCGCCGCGTGCCGCTGTAGCCAACCGGTGCGCTGCGCCGTGCCCGTCCTCGCCTGCCCACGTGCCGCAGGATGCGCATTGAGTTGGGCCTGAAGCCGCTCAAGATGGAGGCTGAGGAGCTCAAGGGCCCCAGCAAGGAGGAGGTGGCTAAGAAGGAGGAGGCGGAGAAGGCTGCCCAGGCAGTAGAGCTTGCAGACCGCATCAAGCAGTGAGTGGCGGCTGGGTGCTGGTACTCAGCCTTGGCTTGGGAGCGGCTGGCTGCTGCGCAGCTCAGGCCATTTGCTATTGGCGTGTGGCACGGCTGTGTGATGCAATCGGCTGCTGGCTGGCCTGAGAGCGATGGCTGGCTGGAGGCGGCATCCTGGGCACGGCCTGCTGTCCATTTTTTTGCCGGCTGGAGGTCGCGCCGCGGCTGGCAGGGCCCCCCGCTGACCTGCCGCCTCCGTGCTTCCCCGCGTCGTCTGCGCCGCGCAGGTCCCGCGAGCGGCGGCAGCAGCAGGAGGCGCTTGACCGGCAGAAGAAGCTGAGTGCGGCCGGCGAGGATGTGGATGACGTGATGGCTTGGGTCAGCAAGAGCCGGGTCACCGAGGCGCAGCGCAAGGCGGAGGCGGCGGCGGCGCGGCGCACGCAGGCGGCCGCGGCGGTGCGCGCCGCGCAGGCGGACAGCGAGGATGATGACGAGGACGAGGGCATGCCCAGCGCCGCTGAGCTGGCGGGGGCCAAGGTCAAGCACACAGCAGAGGAGCTGGGGGAGGGAGAGACCATGATCCTCACCCTGGGTGAGCTGGCGGGCCCTGGATGGGGCTGTTTTGGGGTTTTGGGTGGGGGTGCGGGCATGTCCAACAGGAGAAGAAGCTGGCGGGGTGGG